AAAAAAAAAAAAAAAAAAAAAAGAAAAAGAATCCGTGCTTCCACTGCAGGGAGCACGGGTTCAATCCCTGGTCCGGGAACTAAGATCCTGCCTGCTGCGTGGTGCGACAAAAAAAAACAACAGCAACAAAACGCAAACCCTTCACTTCTCCCATTCGCTTTCCCGGACCCCTCTACTCTTCAAAAGGCTTTCTTCCAGGTCTGAGAAGTATCCCTACCACATTAGCTGCTGCACCCTTGCTTGCTCTCTTTATTTAGTTCATAAAGAATTAATCATTATAGGACAGGCTTAGCTTTAGAAAGACATCCAGGAAAGAAGCTTAAAAGAGGAGTGAAGAATAATTGGTTCTTACCGACAGCTCAGAGTGCTTTATTTTTTATGCGTGAAATGAAAGAAAAAGGAGTAACAGGTGAAATGGGGTGATGATAAAGCACGTAGTCAGCAGGCTGATGCTGGGCAGTGTGACTGGTAAATTCCCTGACCCCTCCGGTAACTCCTCACCTGTGAGTTGGATATAGTAGATAGAGTTGTTGAGAGGATGAAATCTGTTAACTTTGAGAAAAGGCCTGGCATGTGGCAGGTGTCCACAAGAGGCTGTCATCACTTTTAAGTTCCAGCAGTAGAACCTTAGGGCTTCAGAGCTAGAAGGGATTTTGGGGTGCGGCCACTCATGTAATAAATGAGGCCCAGGGAAGACTCACTTGTCAGTACAGAGTCCAGGTGTAGGTTTCTTGACCAATCCCCCCCCACCCAGGTTCCTTTCCTTCTGGGGCGCCAAAGTGAGACACTCTGTAGGCTCTAACAAGGCAATTTGGGGCACGTGTAAGCATTTCAGCTTGTTGATGCACCAGCTGTCTTTGACAGGCTGTAGCCCAGGGAACCCCTGTGACATGGGTTCTGGGGAGCCTGGTGGCTGGAGAACAGATGGTGGGAGATGGTCGCTGCATGTGTGTTCGTACCTTTTGAATCCTGAGCTGTGTGAACAGATTATCTGTGTTTTAGAAAAGAAGCAGTTGGGGGCCGCGGGCTCCATCAGGAGGGGCCCACCCGCACCCTGCCTGCTCACGTAATGCCCGTCTGCTTGGACTCCAGGTACGGCGGCAGCACATGGAGCGCTGTACCAGCTTCCTGGTGGACGAGCTGGGCGTGGTGGATCGAGGCCAGGCTGGAGACCGCATCTTCTTTGTGTCTGCCAAGGAGGTGCTCAACGCCAGGATCCAGAAGGCCCAGGGCATGCCCGAAGGAGGTGACGATGGAACCAGCTTCTTGCTTTTCCCGAACATTTGAGTCGTTGGGTCTCATGCTAAGTCAGCCAGTAGAAACAGTTGAGAACGAGGTGGTGAGAAGAGCCCTGGGTGAGAAGCTCTCGGCTGCGAGTTATTTCTCGACTAATGTGGTACAATTCTCCTAGGGGGCGCTCTTGCAGAAGGCTTTCAAGTGAGGATGTTTGAGTTTCAGAATTTTGAGAGGAGATTTGAGGTGAGCACAAGCCTTTGATCCTGGTGTCTGGCGATTCTGTGCCTCCCCGGCTCTTTCCAGCCATGTCCCTGGCAGTGGATGCCAGAGCCTGGCCCTTGGCCGGTGGCCTCTGCCCCCCTCTGTGCCTCTTGTGTGTTCCAGGAGTGCATCTCCCAGTCGGCTGTGAAGACCAAGTTTGAGCAGCACACGGTCCGGGCCAAGCAGATCGCGGAGGCTGTTCGCCTCATCATGGACTCTCTGCACATCGCGGCGCAGGAGCAGCGGTAAGAGCCCCGGAGGTGACGGGAGGGAGCATGGCAGTGACTGCCTCACCCCTGCCTGGACCCGGCCCAGGGCCAGAGCCTAGTCGCCAAATCGGAGTCTCAGGGTTCCCTCCAGGCCCCATTCAAGCCACGAGGAGCAGCCTGCTGAGGAGGCCATGGGGCGTCTGGCCATCCCACCTGGCCTGTGCAGCGAGGTTTCCCACAAGCCCGCGTTGGCGGCCTTGGCCCAGTGCTGCACCGAGCACAGCAGCCATTCTCAGAGCCTGAAGCAGGACATACTTCTTAACAATACCCTTTTTTTGGAGAAATTAAAATATAGGAAAGTATAGAGAATAGCATACCGTGCTTCCATTGCACAGAACTGACAATATTTGCTTTATTTTTAAGTTAAAATAAAAGACATACAGCAGGAACTAACACAACATTGTATAGCAATTATACTCCAATAAAGATGTTAAAAAAACCCACAACAACAACACAGAAAAAAATGTTGACTACTCTTTGATTCTTCAGCCCCTGTCCCAGTGTCCCTCTGCCCACTCCTCAGAGGCAACTGCAATCATGAATTTGGTGTGTAGTCCTGTCATTCATTAAGCAGTACTTTTTATGTAAGTTCTGAAGAATACATAATGTTGCTCTGCAAGTGCTTTAAATGTGCAGGTACGGGATCATGCTGCACCTGGCTTCTCTTTCCACTCAGCATCGTTTTTACCCTTTGTCCTTGTTGATACCTATAGATGGAGTTTAGGACTGTTAGCTGCTGTAGAGTAGTCCATTGTGACTGTACCTCATTTTCCCGTAGATTTTTAGATTTCATTATTTTGCTATTGCAAACCCTGCTGCAGTGGATGCCAGTCTGTGTGTCCACTTGTGCACATCTGCAAGAGTCTAGCATTAATTCCTGGAGGTGGAAGGTTTCCTCTTAGGGTATATGCATTTCAGTTTTACCCAGTTTTACTTGTGGCTTTCTGAAACATCTGAACCCGTCCAAGGTCCCACCAGCAGTGTATGCTGGAACTCCCATTTCCCTGACCCCATCAGGAATTCAGACTTGGTGAATTTGGCCAGGCTTCTGGGTGGCGTAGTACCTCTTTTTTTCTTTTTCTTGATTATCCTAGTGATTTTTTTCTATATTAATTGGCAGAACTTGTTCTAAAGCCCCTGAAAGCACCCTCCCCTGTCGGTCACCACCACATCTTCCAAATTTGGAAAACTTGAGTGAGTGTCCCTCATACCTGGGAAGGGGAAGAGCAGGCATCCGGGGATGTGCGTGGAACTGCCAGGATCACCGCTGGGGCCCACACAGGCTTCCCCGAGTCACCTCTTGCTTCTCTGCTTAGTCGTGTGGGGACCTGCATCGCGTAACCAGAGCTCTTTCTTTCAGGGTTTACTGCCTGGAAATGCGTGAAGAGCGGCAGGAGCGGCTGAGATTTATTGACAAGCAGCTGGAGCTCTTGGCGCAAGACTACAAACTGCGAATTAAGCAGATTACGGAGGAAGTTGAGAGACAGGTGAGAAGTGGGAGAGGAAGCATGCTGGGGAGATGTGGACTCCGAGTAGAGGCTGGGGAGCTAGAAAAGTGAAAACACAGATGTCCTGTTCCTTGGGGGCTCCTCAGCCTTCCAGGAGGAAGTTGTGGCCCTGATTCAAGAACGTGGCGCCTCCCTGGGTTTGCACTTCCATCATGTGACCCTGGGCAAGTCCCCCCTTCTCTGGGCTTTCTCCTCCATATCTTACAGGAGTGTTTGGTCAGCCAGTCTCTCATGTCCCCTCTACCTCAAAAACTTTTAATTCCGTAGATCAGCTGAGGACACTGCATGGGTGAGGGGAAAGGTATCCAGTGTGTTAGAGTCTGTTAGACGCTCTCCTGGTGCTGCAGAATTGAACCACGTTCCTCCTTGACACTTACCAGCACGCTGCTTCTGCTGTAGGTGTCCACTGCGATGGCTGAGGAGATCCGGCGCCTCTCTGTGCTGGTGGACGAGTACCAGATGGACTTCCACCCTTCCCCAGTGGTCCTCAAGGTTTATAAGAATGTGAGTCATTAAGTGGCAGGTTCTCTGGGCAGGGGCTCCCCTTATTCCCTGTTGGCTACTGGAAGGGATCACCAAGCAGACGGCGATTCAGCCCTGCTGCTCTGAGTCAGGGCCCCTCAGCCAGGGACACGAGCCCCGGGCTCCCATGCGGCCTGCCTGCCTGCCACTGTCGCCTGGTGGGCCTGGGCTGACCAGCCTCGGATTTCCCTGTCCCTGGGCTCCCCAGAGGGAACCGCTGGCAGAGGGCTCCGCTTCCCTTCACCTCTCTTCTGGCTGCAGGAACTGCACCGCCATATAGAGGAAGGACTGGGCCGAAATATGTCGGACCGCTGCTCCACGGCCATCACCAGCTCCCTGCAGACCATGCAGCAGGAGATGATAGGTCAGTGCTGCGAGGGCCTCGGGACCTGGTCCCTGGGCTGCCGAAAGATCAGTTTCAGGCCAGTCTACAGAAGTAACGGTCCTTGTCTGTCACCTTTTATGATGAGTCAGCTTCATACCTTGGGGTCCTGGGCATGTGTCATGAGTTCATTCCACACATAGACTTGGGGGGTCGGTGGCGGGGGGGTCGTCCTTTTTTTTTTTCTTTTTAATAAATTTATTTTTTTTTTTTTGGCTGCATTGGGTCTTTGTTGCTGCGTGCGGGCTTTCTCTAGTTGCGGCGAGCGGGGGCCACTCCTCGCTGTGGTACGTGTGCTCCTCATTGCAGTGGCTTTTCCTGCTGTGGAACATGGGCTCTAGGCACACGGGCTTCAGTAGTTGTGGCGCGTGGGCTCAGTAGTTGTGGCTCGCAGGCTCTAGAGTGCAGGCTCAGCAGTTGTGGCGCATGGGCTTAGCTGCTCCATGGCACGTGGGATCTTCCCAGAGCAGGGCTCGAACCCATGTCCCCTGCACTGGCAGGCGGATTCTTAACCACTGCGCCACCAGGGAGGTCCCCATGGGGGTGTCTTGTGTTACCACCTGGGACTAGCAGAGGCTGAGAGCTCGGCCTGCTCCTTAAATCCGCACGTTAGCCGGTGTGGAGCCTTGGCCTGCATCCCCTCGCCCACTGGCCCGCTCTCCCGGGCCTGGTTTCTGGGCCTCACCATCAGCATCCTGGGCTGCAGCGAGTGTTCTGAGGCTCGGCCCTGGCGTGGCACGGGGCTGAGCTGCTGCGGTTTCTCCGCATTTCTGTTCCTGACAGACGGCTTGAAACCCCTCCTTCCTGTGTCTATGCGGAGTCAGATAGACTTGCTGGTCCCTCGGCAGTGCTTCTCTCTCAGCTACGACCTGAACTGTGACAAGCTGTGTGCCGACTTTCAGGAGGACATCGAGTTTCATTTTTCTCTCGGGTGGACCATGCTGGTGAACAGGTTCCTGGGCCCCAAGAACAGCCGCCGGGCCTTGATGGGCTACAACGACCAGGCAAGCGAAGTCCCGCACCCTCGGGCATCAAGGGAGGTCAGTCTGCACCCCAGGCGCACAAACTGTTCTGAAAGGGGTGTCCTGAGGACACAGCCATGGCATGTGGGCCACCACCACGGTCAGGTTTTTGCCACAAATCAACCTAGCTTTATCCTAAGCACTAATATTTGTGAAGTTACAAATGTAAGCCGCATTTTTTTTCTATTACACATTAAAGTGAGCATGTAACTATTAAATATAGATGACCTGTCTGTCCACATACCACCATTTTCATGTTTGGATGTTGAACCCCTCATCTCTGTACCATTGGAGTTACTGCCCGGGCTGCTCTCGGGCCACGTCCCACACCTGGGGACCTGTGCTGAAGCGTTCCAGGGCGGCCACTGCTCCTGTTCTGTGGTACCCCACGGTGCTCACCTTTGGGCCGGCAGGTCTGTTAGGAGCTTAAATTCTTCTCTGCTACGTGTGAAGCTCATTTTCGCTTTTGGGAAATTGAAGAGCCACTCCCCATGCCCCTGTTCTGGACCCTAGAATGAGAGACTGGCCGGTATCTTCTTAGCCCCTCCTCGTTTCTCTCTGCAGGTGCAGCGGCCCATGCCCCTGACCCCGGCCAACCCCAGCATGCCCCCACTGCCCCAGGGCTCCCTCACCCAGGAGGAGCTCATGGTTTCCATGGTCACCGGCCTGGCCTCCCTGACCTCCAGGACCTCCATGGGCATTCTCGTCGTTGGAGGAGTGGTCAGTGACAAGCCCTGCTCGGGGAGGGGGGTGGGGCAGGTGTGTGGGGACCGAAAGGCACAGTCTGGTGGGTGTCCCCGCATCGGCCCTGCGCTTCACATCCGTGATGACTTCTTGCTGTGATCTCAGGAGCCGTGTAGCCTTAGCCCTTTAACATACATTTATTGACTTGTTTAAGTCTCACTCAACTAACGTGACATTTAGAAGAACATCTGCAGTTGGCTTGCCGAGTACACACAGCTGGGATTTGAACTCTGGCCCCATCTGACTCCAGGACCATATTCTTTCCCCTGTAGGCCCAGTAGGGTAGGGAAATGACCTGAGAAATTGATGGGCCTGGGTTCTAGAGAGGTGGGTATGACCAGGAGTTTCTCACTGGTAGGTGAGGAAACCCAGAGCAAAACTTGCAAGGGCTTGAGACAGAAAGAGGCCAGGCTGGGCCTTGAACCCTTGTCTCTCCAGCTGCAGTTTTATTGCCCTTTCTTTCTGCCCCAAGGCCTGAGATCACAGGCTGCCTTCTTGATTACTGGGGTACTCCCCATGTCTTGACCCAAGACACACTGCAGCTAGAGTTATTTATGCCTTGAATTTTCTTGATGATGTGGGAAAGTTCTCTTTGTCATGGTCATTTGAGTTGTGGAGTGGTGGCAGAACATAACTGTAACAAAACTGCCAGGAATTGCATTCTCAGCTTGTAAGACTAGGGTGGGCTGGAGTTGAGGCCCTCTCCCTCCTGGCCTGTAGACGGTACATGCTCTGGTTTTTTTTCACAGATGGTGACCTGGCAGAGGGTCATGATCTGAGAAGCTGACACTTGACAGTTATGTAACCCTTTTTACAGTCAGTGTCTCATTTTACCCAAACAACCCTGAGAATTGGGTGGGGGCCATTATTCCTATTTGGGGAGGAAACAGGTGTAAACAAACTTGCCAAAGGTCACACAGCCAAGGAAGAGCTTCACACTAGAGTCTCGATTTCTGGCTCCAAGTCCAGTGCTCTTTGACTGTAACTACACTGCCTCCAACCAAAGTGTTACAAACCAGACCAAAAGAAGCCATCTACTGAGGACCGATGTGCAGAATTCTGCTTGTGAGTGTCACCAGAATGGAGGGTCCCTTCAGAGTACTCCAACGTTTATCTTTAAGATTTCTCTGTGCCTGGATCTGTGCTTCTGGTGCTCACAACCACAGAGGTGGCCTTTGCACAAGTCATATTGTGTGGCCCACACTAAGTTTCCCTCGTCTCCAAACTAGACGTGGTCCCTGCCCTTCTGGCCTCAGTGAGACCAAGGAAGACAATGAAAGGAGTGTTCTGAGTAGAAGCACAGAGGCTCTTTGAGGCTCTTGGGAAAGTCCTGGCTGAGAGGATGGGCTGTGGGATGGCAGAGGGACTGTGCCAGCTGACCACTGTGCCTCTGCAGGTGTGGAAGGCTGTGGGCTGGCGACTCATCGCCCTCTCCCTTGGCCTCTATGGCCTCTTGTACGTCTACGAGCGTCTGACCTGGACCGCCAAGGCCAAGGAGAGGGCCTTCAAGCGCCAGTTTGTAGAGTACGCCAGCGAGAAGCTGCAGCTCATCATCAGCTATACCGGCTCCAATTGCAGCCACCAAGTCCAGCAGTGAGTGGCCCCGTCAGCCCCGTGGTTCAGGACTGCCCTCTAGGTTTCCTCCTAACCTGGCCTGGAAACCACTGGGCCCTGAGCGCTGTCTGACTCTGGCCTTCAGCTGTGCAGCGCCAGCGTGGAGGCTAGGGATGGGGGAGGGGCCTCCAGGGACACCTTACGTCCTGGGCTGGGACCAAGTAGGCCTCTGGTCTCCCAAGGAAGGAAGACATGGGAAGACGAGGGGTGTTACCTGTAGCCATCTTTTAAAGGTTACCTCGAGAGGCTTGGGTTGTGGGTGTAGCTTTGATGTTCTGAGCCACAGCCCATTCTTCATGGCGTATCTTAGGGCAGGTGGGAATGGATGGCTTGATCTGGGTGGTGGTCAGGAAGGTGCTGGCTGCCTGCCTTTTATTGCTCTGTGGCAGGCCCTCTGCTAGGCATTTTGCACCTAACTCTTCATTTTCTCCCCGAGCCCTTGGAGGTAGACGTTTTTACTGGCACCTTGTTTTTCAAAATGAGGAAATTGAGATGTGAAGAGGAGCCATGTGTCTCCTGCACTCGGCTGATTAGCAGCAGGGCCGGGATCTGCATCCTGGTCGCTTGTGCCCAAGCCGGGGTGCCTTGCTCTGTGCCCCTGGTTCTTGCGCTGTGCTGACGCTAGTGCGTGTGGTGGCTGTGATGTCCGCGGCCTCAGCAGAGGGCGGGGACGATTCTGACAGACCAGGACAGGCGCAGGGGACAGATGGGCTGACTGTTTCACCACTGACGTGGCCTGGTTGATCCTGACTCTACCCCCTCAGGGAACTGTCTGGGACCTTTGCTCATCTGTGCCAGCAAGTTGATGTCACCCGGGAGAACCTGGAGCAGGAAATTGCCGCCATGAACAAGAAAATTGAGGTTCTTGATTCACTTCAGAGCAAAGCCAAACTGCTCAGGTGAGGTTGGCCATGTGGCAGCAGAGGAGGTCTGGTCCCTGGGGTTACAGTTCACAGGCACGTCCTTAACCGTGGTGTCTCAGGCACTTGACACGTGCTGTCCCATCTTCAGCGTCCCTTTAGGGATGTATCATCACCTTCACTTTATAAAATGGAAGATCGAGGCCTAGAGAGGTTAAGTAACTCATCTGGGATCCCCCAGTAAGTGGTCAAGCCAGGAGGAGGAGAATCCAGGCGTGCTGGGCTCCAGCGCGCTCCCACACTCCACACGTTGATTGTCCTTTACCGTCGGCGGGAACAGTGGGCTACACCCGGCCCCCACTTTCCGCCATTTCACGGTGCGGCACAGCAGCATCCGTGTCCACAGGGGAGCTGGCCAGGTAGCCAGTGACTGGCAGAACCCGGATCAGAACCCAGGTCAGCGTAGGGTCTCTGTTGAAAGTCAGAGCTTCCAGCAGCAGGTTGCTGGGGAGAGGCTGGGTCTCAGGAGTCAGGAGTCCTGGCTTCTGGTCCTGGCACCCCCGTTTGGGCAAATCGCTGAGCTTTCCTATGTCTCATTGCTTTCGTCTATAAAATGGAGTAAGGTTTCCTGACACAGTCACAGAGCTGAGTGTGCGAGTGCTCTGCAGAAGTCCTCGGCCCACTCAGGCTGGGATAACATCGGCACACGGGGACTCTGTTCTTCCTGCCCCCACCCTGACGTCAGCACAGAGGGGAGCTGCATCAGAGGGCATCGGTGGGCCTTGCCCTCCCCGCCCACTGCCCTGGGACAGCTGTGATCTAGAGACACGCTGCTCATCCCCGGGGAAATCTCATGTGGCGTGTGGCTTCGGGGTGGCGGTGTCTTTGCTGCTCGTCACCTGCAGCGACAGGGTGAACCTGAAAAGGGCTGCGTGTGAGCAGCCCATCCTCCTGCTGACAGGCAGGAAGCCTGTTCCCAACAGTCCAGGGACTTGCCCGTGGTCCCGGCATGAGGTAAACACAGGGCTTGAGGGTCAGAAAAACCTGATTTTATTTCCACCGCTGATTGGTCGCGTGACTGTAGGAAGTTACTGAACCTCTCTGGGCCTCATTTTCGTCATCGGTGAAGTGGAGGTTATTGGAGGGATAATGAGTAAATGAGTCTGTACAAGTCAAGTGTCCGGTAGAGCAGCACTTGGCCTCGGCACATAGTGCTGTTACTTGTTATCAGCTATTACTGCTACAAGGTAACCGTTTCTCTGCAGGAATAAAGCTGGTTGGTTGGACAGCGAACTCAACATGTTCACGCACCAGTACCTGCAGCCCAGCAGATAGTGGGCAGCCCGGAGCCGGAGCCTGCGTAAGGAGGGGCAGCGCTGCCAGCCGCGAGGGGCCTCCCACCAGGGCCACGTGCAGCTCCTGTCCGTTGCCGCCACCGTGAGAATGAAAGCACCCGCTGTCTCCCACCGTTTTGAGCCCTGAGACGCTAGTTATATCCCCCCTCCTTTGCCTGCTGTTGAAGGAAGATATTCTGGCTCATACCCCTAAAAGGAGACTTGTTTTTTTCAATGATGACTTTGGACAGCATGATACTGAGGATTTAAGTCGATCTTTTCTCGGTTTTGTCAGGCTCTGTTGATTGAGAATCGTCTGATTGCTTGATGAGGTCTTGGGATCAGCCAGCATTGCAGAAGGCCTGGTTGGGCCTTTAAGGATATCAGGCAGACACCCCCTCCTCCAGCCAACGCTAACACTGACCCACGCGCACCTGCCTACCACGCACCCCAGCGCACCCGCAGAGAAAGGCCACTTTAGGGGGTGGTTGCATATTCTTCTGGGATTGTGCTGGGAACAGTTCCAGGAAGGCCAGGGCCATCCCAGGAGGGTTGTGGCTTACGTGTCAGTTTGGTCCTTCGGCTTTCATACTTCGTCCCATCTGCAGAGCCTTCCAGACCAGCCCTTCAGTCTTGGTGGCGGGGCTGAGAGCGCAGAGGTAGCTGGAACGCTGAGTGGCATGTGTGGAGGGCGTGTCCCAGTGCCCCTGCTGTCACGGGCCGCCGGGGCCGTGATGGGGCGAGACTTGCCTCCTCCTCCTCATTCTGTCCCTTGTTCTGGTTTCGGTCCTTAGCCTATCAGTCTGGTTTCTTATTCATGAAAGATAGGTTGGTCCAGATAGTTAAAGGATGTAGTAGAAGGAAAGATGGCGGAAGGAGGGAACCTTGGCGGCAGGCTGAGAGGAGTGGGCCCCTCCCAGGACAGCTAGAGGATCTGGAGTTGATGCAGAACAGGACCTTGCATTTGACCTCGCTCTGTGAGGGGTTCGTGGGGTCTGAGAGTCCACTATACTAGCTTGATGGTCTATAAGAGACACGTTCCCACCCCTCACCCCACCTCAGCCCAAGCTGCCCTTGGCCACCAGACCTCTGGATGAAGTCTCCTGTGCCAGTGATGCTGCACGTGGCCAAGAGACAGTGCGGGGAACCCAGCACCCAGCCTCCCACCCACCCTGATCCCAGAGCCTCCAGGTGACACATGGGGCCTCGTGTTGATTTTGAGAAGTGTTTCCTGTTGTTGAGTTTGGGGATTGTTACCGGTCAAAGTTGGGGCAGGTTCCTGTCTCCAAGGTGTTAACTGTCTGGGGCAAACACCCTTCGGGTGACAGCCTTTGCAGGGCAGGTCAGAGAACTTCCTAGAAGCCAGCAGCACGTCTCTCCCAGAAAGAGCCTCAGGCAGAGAGGTGGGGATTGTCCTGCTCTCTTGAATCCACCCACCCTCCGACTTTGGGGAAATGACTTGGTGGCCTCTGCTCACTGGCGGGTGGCACGCAGCTGGCGAGCTCTCCAGGTGCCCGCTTGTCCTTCAAACCCTCAGTCTACCCTGGTGCGTGGAAGAAAGTGATGGACTTCGCCAAGGCCGCCATGCGGCGGGAGGACGCTCTGAGCTTTCTGCCAGCCTGGATGGTGGTTACCTCCCAGTGTGTCTGGAGAAATCAGTGTCACACAATTCCAATGAATCTTGTGCTTTTGTGGGGGTGGTTATTATTTAGAATAACTAAACATGAATTTTTTTTGAATGTAGCCTCTGGGCAGTGAATGAGATTTTGAGCTTCTTATACAACAAGTAAAATTGAAATTACACCACTGAGGGCGAGACTCTGAAAGAACTGTGGCAAGAAGCACTTTAATTTAATGCTGCTGACTTTGTTCTCTGTTTTTATGTTCATTTGCTGGAGTGCAGGATGTCCTTGACATGGTGGGTTTTTTCTCTGATGTATTTAAGGTGATATATTTGCCTGAATTATTCCTGTATCATTGCTGATAATATTGAGCACTAAAATAAAACCTAGTTGGAAACCATTTGTGTTTTGTGTGTCTCCTCAGCTTACTGTTCCTATGCAAATTCTCTTTGACATGACAAAGTCTGCAGGTTGTATTTTGAAATGACCTTAACTTCGTTTAGGGGAAGTTCCCACAGTAATCTGCCTGTGGGTTCCTCCTGACTCTTGGAAGGAATCTGACACTCTCAGAGGAGCAAAAGGCGTAACTGATCTTTAAGAACCAGGAAATCTAGAGTGATTTCTTTACAGATTTCGCCATAACTCTAAACCATTCATTTTTCACTTAAAAAGTAATGACTCAGACTGGTTCACCCTAGTTTGTCTTCTGAGAAATTGGTTGTGACCTTTTCCTTCTTTCTTTTTTTTTTTAAAGGGCCCTCAGCAGTGGCTTGGGCGTGACTAGTCAGTTTCGCTGACCCTGCACACCTGTCCCCTGGGCTCTGCACTGCCTACTGCCTGCACTGCTCATCCATTTCAGAGGCCTCCACACCTCAGCGGATGGGATCCTCGTCCCTCCAGATTCCCAGGTCACAAACTTGGGGCGTGATCCTGGACTCCCCTGTCACACGTGCTGCGTCCAACCTGTCAGTTTCTGTCTTAAAAATACATCTCACCCCTGACCATTTCATCCACTCCATTCACAGTCACGGCTCTGACCCATGTTACTGCCTCTAACTCAGCCCCTCCTCCCACCCTGGCACTCTCACACTTGTTTCAAAGCAGCCCCCAGAGTGACCTTGATGTAGGCTGGAAGTAGAACTCAGCTCGTATTACTCCTTTGCTCAAAATACAGCTCTGGCTCCCTGTCCCACCCAGAATCGAGGCCCAAGTCCTTGTGGTGGCCTTTCAGGATCCACTGCCTCTGATTGCCCCTCCCTCTTCGGCTCCCTCTGTTTCGGCCACACTGGTCCTTGCTCTCCCTTGAAACTGCTGCCCACACTCTACTGTACGGCCTTTGCCTGGCTGACCCTCTGCCCGTGGTCCAGAATGCACCACAGCTGACTAACTCCTTTACCTTCAAGTCTGCTGAGACGTCACCTCATTGAGGTCAATGCACACCCTTCCCTATTAAAATCCCTCTCTCCCCTCTTCCCTGGCACTTCTGAATACCCTTCTGAGTACCCTCCTACCTAGTCATCATCTGAGCAATATTGTTTGTGTCTGCACCTGCTAGAGCATAAGTTCTAAGAACATAAGCAAAAGATGAGATTTTTACATGTTTTGTTCATTGGTAAGCGCCCAGGGTCTAGACCAGTGCCTGGCACAGAATCAGAACTCAGTAAATATTTGCTGAATTAACAAATCCTGTCCTGATAACACAGTCGCACCATTTATCAACCCTTTAGCGCCGGGGGACAGAAGTAACAAATGCTACTGGAAACTTCCTATAGGTAGGCATGGCACCTAGGGGCTTTCAAGTGTGTTGTATGTTTAGTAATTAACATTTTCCACTCCACCGTGGAAACTGAGGCTCAGAGAGGTTGGGACTAGTTCAGACATCAGCAGCTGGAGGGTGATGGAGGCTGGATTGGAGCCCAAGTCCAAATTCCCCAAAGCCCAGTGGCTTTTGAACATTTTTTTACCCTGACCCATTGTTAGAAATTCATCACGATTGAGTACACACATATATGTGCGAGTGAAACCCCCAAAAAGTCAATCATTACCCCTTTTCTGCAATACACAGGTATTTTCTCATGAAGGAGCTGCTGTTTGCAACCCACTAAATTGCTCACCAGCCACTCCTGGGTCATGACCAGTCGTTTGAAAAAAGGTGTTCTACCCTCTTTGCCTCACTCAACACCTCCTAGTTCTTTATTCCCAGCAAGGCCAGACTCATTCCTGTGGCTCTTCAGACTACCTCATCTGCCCACTGAGAGTTCTGGGGAATCAAGAGCCTGAGATTTTTGGCCCTTCAGTAACAGTGTCGCCATTTCATCACAGAATATGTAGCCGGGAATGTACCTCCCTGTCCCAAGCACTGGGTCCTGCTCACAGATGTCAGCTAGGTTCACTCTGACCTCCAGGACGGGGTTTTCTGTCTCTGAGTCAGACTCAGAGATTAGAACAGGCAACTTTTATAGAGGGCTTGGCTTGTGTCAGACATGCATACGCGTGACTGCCAATCCTCTCAAAAACCTAGTGATCGATTTTCCCCTTTGTACAAACCGAGAAGTTTATTCATCAAAATATTCGAGTGCCTGCTGTGTGCTGAGCATGGCTCTGTGCATTGGAGACGCAGCAGTGAATAAGGTGGATAAAAATCCCTGCCTTTATGGCGCTTACATACTTGTGGGGGAAGGCAGACAGCAGGCAAAAGCACTGAGTAAAAGAGTATGACAGAAGATAAGGGCTATGGGGGAAAATGGGGCAGGGAAGGTCAGGGAGGGGGTAACAAGAGTGTGGCCGGGGTAGGCCTGGCTGAGAAGATGATGTTTGAAGAAAGAGCTGAATGAATTCGGTAGGGAATGAAGCCCTGTGGACATCTGGGGCGGGGCATTCCAGGCAGAGCCGCATGTGTAAAGGCCCTGAGGTAGGAGCATGCCAGTATCTTCAAGGAACAAAATGAGACCAGTGTGGCTGGAGCAGAGTGAGGGAGGTGGAGAGCAGTTGGACTTCAGTTGCGAAAGGAACCAGGCGAGACTGGGGTCTTGCCGGCCACTGTGAGGACCTTGGCTTCACCGTGAGCGAGGTAGATGCCATGCAGAGTTCCAAGCCAAGGAGTGACGTGAGCTGACTGACTTACACTCGAGCGGTCCCGGGTCCTGCTATAGGGAGAGTAGACGAGAGTAAGGATGGAAGCAGGGGGGACCAGCCGCGAGGCAAGTGCAATATTCCAGGGAGGAGAGGATGGTGCCTTGCACAGGGCGGTTGTGATGGAGGCTGTGAAAAGTGGTCAGTTCTGGAGACCTTTTGAAGACAGAAACAATGCAATGTGCTGATAGACTGGATGAGTCATGGCTGACTGGGGTTTTGTCCTGGGTCGGTGGCAGGATGGGGA